CTTGGAAGGGCTGTCAGTTGGGTTTTTAGTTGTTAGATTACTGTTACTAGGACTCTGTGCACTGTAGTCATGGTTAGCGCACCCGGAGGAGGGTTTTGTCCCATTCTGAGCTCTCAGGGGCAGTTTAGCGTTCATTCTAGTTATTGCGTTTTGGATTGGAGCACTTGGCACAATTTCATTGGGTGTTACGTGTACATATCGGGCTGCAAATTCGCCCACACGCGTCCTTGTTTTTTCTACCCAACTCGGATGGCCAGGTGGGAGGTCCGGATTTCCATTGATTTCATAATCACTGTTGCCAATTTTCCATTCCGCATACAGCACAGCATCTGCGCATCACTGCACGAACGTGAAAACGGGGTTGCCGACAACCGTCAAACACTAACGGAAATTTCTTCCCCGACCGTCAGATTCAAATGGAGTGATGACTAAACAAACTGTAAGTGATGACTAAATGTTACTCCATTTGACGTGTTCGACCGTCGGATGCAGTTCCTTGATGAAGCTGGAGATTCTCAGCAGTAGTGGCTTCACTACGAGGAGATTCAGTTGGAGTTTCCTTGCTTTGTTAATTCGTGTGCTTATCTTGAAGGGGGGAGATTTTAAGGAATGAGTCATTCCTTACTGAGGCGCGCTGCTAGTGGGTATACCGAACGTACACGGCTCCGGGCTAGGCCTTAGTTCCGTTACCGTACACGCTACACCGAACCATTCCGTGTCATTCCGAAGCACTCCATGTCCTCGGATGCCATCTCTGAACTTGTGCATCACGTGGTTAGGATTCTCTCTGGTGTTCCTATATCTAGCCTCGTCTTTCATTGTACCGACAGTCTGTGAATCTGTATTTCTGAACTTCGATATTCACTTCCGCGCTACTCTGGGTTTCCACCCATAACATTACTGCACCAAAACGTTACAGAGGCTTAGAGTTTGTAAGAAATTTTCCATTCCTTAGCGCGCCGCACCGTTAATGCGTACACCAAACCCCACACGGCACCGACATCTGCCCTATATTCGAAACGAACACAGCACCGAACCATTTCCGCGTCACTCCGAAGTGCTACGCGCCCTCGAATGCCTTATACGAACCTGTTCGATCACGCGGCTAGGATTGCTGTGGTGTTCCTATTGTCAACATATATTTGTATATGTTATAGGCTAGATAGGTGCATGCTCATAGAGGGTACAGCACCATTGCACAAAACCTCCCTCTATGGCACAATCTAGTTCATTGTGTTATTCTAACATGCTATCAGAGCGTTGGTGACTCGGGTTCAATTCCCAGTGCTAGCGCTGCATAGGCGTTCGTGTCCTCCGCCTATCCCAGCGAGGGGGGGTGTAGAGAGACCCATTGGGATTACCCTTGAGAAAATCCTCGGGGAAGGGCCACAGGTGCAGAGCCTAGGGGGCTATGGGCGCACTGACCCGCTATCAACAAGCACTTTTAACTCAGTGGTTCGTGGCTGAGTTTCTGACACCAATATCTTGCCTCATCATTCCATTGTACCACATTATGATATTCTGAACCCCGACATTCGATTCCGCGCTACTCTGGTTAAACACTCATAACATCTGGTATTCAGAGCTACTTTCCTGACCTACCCATTTCCATAGGCGGAAAACTTTTTCCGAGGGGAGGGGAGTGATTCACTCACTGAGCTGCCAAGTGGTCGGAAGTGAATTAGACGAATTAATCCGTCCGACTACGATAGCGTTTGCGTTCTTACCTGAGCACGGATAATCATGGACATTCCCCTGCCCACTCGGTGTAGTATTCACCACATGGACCAGGCACAGTTTGACGAGTTGATGGCAAAATTCGGTGCCACGGAGGCTCGCTTGACAGATGTGCTAGACGACAACAAAGAACTTCGTGCCGAAGTTATCGATCTTTGCCAGGCGCAAGAGACTATGCGCCAAAAGTCGCCCGCCCCCGAGGACGCCGCTAGTACTGAATGTGTTGAAACAGTACTGGACAAAATCGCACGCAAAGTGTCGCAGGAGCGCCACGATGATGAAGCTGAAGTAGCAACGAATGTCGCCGCACGTGCCACGGCAGTTGCAGCTGCTGTGACAACGGCCGCTGCCCGCTCTGAAGCAGCAGCAATAGTTTCTGCAGCAGCCGCAGCCACGCCAACAGTACCAGTGGCCAAGATAAAGCCGCCGAGGCTTCCCCCGTTTCGCCCCATGGATAAAAACACCACCATCACGGGCTGACTTTTCGCGATGGAGCTTTATTTTGTTGTTGTCGAAATACGGTTGATGATTTAAATATCAAATTGGTTGTTTCACTACTGAGGGGACTGGGACTGGATTGGTGACGATCGACACTAAGTGAGACGGGGACTTCGGCGAGGAGCACTCCAGGGTTTTTCGGGAGTTTGGAATCTGCTGCCCAGAACGCAACGCCAATTTTCGGAGCGACCGAGATTCGCACGTGAAAAGCGTGGGGTACAGCTCTGCGTGAACGTTTTGAGCCGATACCCACCTCAGATAACACACGCACGAAGCCGGACACCTGGCATCAGTTGACCTCTATCCAGCTCAAACGTGGCACGCACCCAACTGTCCGGACACGGTGGCGGCTGATGCAACCCGAGCTCCAGGAATTACGCGACCAGCTGGATTATTGGCCGGCCAAAGGGTTTGTTCGACCGAGTATGTCCCCGAGCAAAATTATCCCGTACACGACAAAAAATGTTGGCGATCGTGCATGCGTTCAAGATCTGACGATGCTACCTGACGGGAGCCGACGTGACTGTACGAACAGATCACAAATCCCTACAATACATGCGAGCGCAGTTGAATCTCAACCTGCGGCAGATTTGCTGGTTGGATTATCTGGAGTCAAACTTCACGTATCGAATCACATACATTAAGGGTGCCAACAACATCCTCTCAAGACCATCTGCCCAAACCGACGCTGTAGTAATCGCCCAGACGAACCCGTTGCTGAGCGAACAATTCACCCACGGAGACCGATCCCTTTTTTGTAAACAACGGCCACCAGCAGGTCACGACCGCGCGAGGAGCCTATTACGTAAAAGCGGGAATGGAATAAATTTGGGTTCTGAGCTATCGTCTACTTCGCAAATCACTAATTAAATAAGTCCACGATTCAAACTTATCGGGACATTCCAGGGTTGACAAGACTCTGAAGACACCTTAGCAACTTTGGCAACACGTGACAATGGATTTTGTCACCGGCCTGTCGGCCGGACCAAGTGGATACGGCGCGGTCCTTGTCGTCGTCGACCGCCTCACGAAAATGGCTCATTTCACGCCATGTCGCACGATAATCACAGCCAAAGAAACCGCACGTCTGTTCGTCTCGACCGTCGTTCGCCTGCATGGTATCCCTGCAGCAATCATCAGTGACAGAGATCCGAAATTCACCTTGCGCTTTTGGCAAGACACGTGTAACCGATACGATACCCGCCTACAGTTCTCATCCCACGGTCATACAGAACGGACGAATCAGACCATGGAGCAGTTGATTCGCACAAACTGCCCAGATATCAATAAATGGGAAGATTCGCTGCCCATGCTCGTGTTTTCCTACAACAATGCACCCTCCGCCGCGACTAATTATTCGCCCTTTTACCTGAATTATGGGATGGATCCGACAGTACCCATTTCCACCAACGTCAAAAGCCAACTCCTTTGCTCGCAGCAGTTCGTCAAAGACCTTTAAACCGCCCGCACAAGAGTCATCGAATTTATCCGAAGACCCAATGTCACTGCCCACCAATACGCCGACCGCCACAGACAGGATATTGCCTTGACTAAAGGGAAACTAGTCCTCCTTGACACCAAAAACCTTCGCTTGCAGATACTGCCAAATCTCCGACCCCGCTATTGTGGACCATTCAAAATCATCAAGATGATAATGCCAGTGACCGCCCAACTCCGCCCGCCCGACGATTGGAAATTTCATAATTCATTACACGTCTGCTTCATGTTAACATATAATTTGTATATGTTATAGGCTAGCTAGGTGCATGCTCATATAGAGTACAACCCCTTAGGTTATATCCCCTAATACCACCTCTTTCTAATCATTCGTTCTACTCTAAGATCGTATCACCTTAGGTTAGGTCCGCCCGCCCGCTTCCGCCCTAGCGCCTAGCGCCCCGCTATGTTGGTGCATATTCGTTTGCACGTCATCCTGTCGTCTGTTCGCATCATTTCGTTGCATGTGTTTTGTGTGCTACGTTGTTTGTATGGTTTGTTGGGTTTGCATGTCTTTGCATGTTCATCTTGTGCTTGTGCAGATGTGCTTGGATTGTGCATGACATCGAGCACATTCCAACGAGCCAAGAATTGTTGGAATCGGAGCACATATGAAGAAGTTACGAAGAAATGTTTGATGGATTTGTTACAACTCATTGGAAGTCCTTGTCAGCTGCTACACCAAAGTTGGAGAGCCCTATAACGAGGAGGGACCAGCATGTGTGGGACTCTTGTCCCCACCCTGCAGCTGCAGCATTTGGGGTTTGGAGGCCAACCTGCTACAGTGTGAATTTTGTCTTGCCAGGCTGGTTGAACCTGAGGATGGGGAGTCAAGACTTTGACTCTTGTCATGTTCTTGACCATGGGCCTCCAGGGTCCTTCCCTTTCATCCTTCTCTTCCATCCCTACCTTCCAATTGTGCTTCAATGCCTTTTCTATCATGCCTCTGAACTTGTAAGCTTCAATCATAGTGACTCTGAGGATTGTCAACTTCTCCTAAGGCAGATTACCCCCCAGTGCGCCAAACGCCATAGCTCGCTCGTTAAGCTATGGAATCGAGTGATTCAACTTCCAGAGGAAAGCTGACGCTGCAAGCTACAAAAAATCTGATTTTTAGAATGTTTCACAGATTGGAGTTTTGGATATAGCTTTTCAAAGGTCGCGAGTTTTCTGGGCGTCATAACGAAGTGCTGCAGAAATTTCCAAGGAGCCATTGAATCATCTGCTTATAGTCTTCTCTAAGCAACAAGTGGTATCAGAGCCCATTATCACGCATTTGGGACCTAAAATACGATGGGAGATAAGGAGGACTCTGGTGGAGATGATACTTCAGTCCAAGGAGGCAGCTCAACCCAAGATTCTGGCATTGCAGCGCAAAGGGGAGCGCATACAAGCCAGGGGTCACTGCTTAAGGAGGTGCTGAAGAACTTCACCATTGAGAAGTTCTCTGGAGATGGCTATAATGATTGGGCATGGAAGATGCAGCTCTACTTTCGACAAATTGGCCTCTTGAAGCTCATGATTGGAACGGAGCCAAGGCCAAAGGAAATGGCAGAGCAAGCGGACTGGGATGAACGTTCATCTGCTGGGTATTATCTACTGTCACAAAGCTTGGAGCTGAACCAGAGGCATCACATCATGCATCTGCTACCGGAAATTGATTGTGGGCCCAAGGCATGGGCAGTGCTCAAGGACCTGCACGCTCCGACATCGGTTGCCGCTTCTCTCATGCTGGATCGGGAGCTGTCCATGCTGCGGTTGAGCGAGAATGAACCTGTGCAGCCCGTCCTGGACAAGATGAGGGAACTCTACGCGAAATTGGCGATTGCAGGCATCACGTACCTGGAGCAGACTAAGTGTCTCAAGATGCTCAGCCTGCTGCCCGAGTCTTGGCTGCAATTTATAAGCGGACTCAGCTTGCCACAAAACCAAAGTCAATGGACATTGGAGTGGATACGCACCAAGATTCTGGAAGAAGATTTTCGTCGCTATACACTGCGCGGAGGTGATGACAGCACCAGCGGCTATGCCATGCAAGGGACATGGAGGGATCGAGGGCGTGGCAATCGCGGTCGCTCCTACTACAACCAAGGTGGTCGCGGGACTTGGAACCAGCGGGGGCGTGGTGGCGCTGGTGCAAGAGGAAGAGGTGGTCACTCCAACAATGACAACAGTGAACCACGCTTGAGGGGAGAGTGCTGGTATTGCAAGGAAGAAGGGCATCCATGGTTTTGCTGCTCTACCAAGCCCGACTGGTGGACCCCTTGGAACCAATCGCAGAAGGGGAATGGAGGAAAGCAACCACATGGAGGTGCCAACATGGTAGTTGATCCTGCTGAAGAAACCTCCAAGGATGACAGAGGATTGGGAAATGAGGAGAGGAATGCTGGACAGTTCTACCATGTGTGTGACAAAGATGACAGTGGCACAGCTGTTGCAAGGGCTGGAGAGGAACTGCACCCGCTTGACATGTGGGTCATGGACTCTGGTGCTGCATGGACAATGACACCACGCAAGGACTTGCTGGATGCTGTGCGAGCGCCTCCAATCTCCGAAGTGCGCTCAGCATCCGGACATGCAGTGAAGGTCGCTGGAGTTGGTCGAGCTGCATTCAGAGCACCTGATGGTGGACTGGTTGTGCTGAAGGACGTGTTACTCGTACCGGGGCTGAAGGCCAATCTGATATCGCTGCGCAAGCTAGGCCAGGCGAGGAGATCTTGTGTTATGGGATTTAGACGAAAGCAGAGATGTCTTCAGATCCATGTGGCAGATCCCTGCACTGATATGGGAATCAACAAAGAAGGAGTTGGGAGCAGTAAAGGCGAGATCTGGAGTCCAGGGGGAGTGCAATGCAGTTAGTGCTGCAGGAGTGACGGTTTCTGCAAGGTCGGGGGAGACTGATTGGGAAACCGCACACAGACGTCTAGGGCATGTGGCTATGCCATTGCTGCAGCAACTGCATAAGGAAGAGGCAGTAAAGGGGCTGAAGCTTTCTGGGCAACCAAATGATACCAAGTGCGAGACGTGTCTGCTGAGCAAGTTCACACGGTTCCCCTTTCACGGCGTAGCTGGGAAAAGCAAGGCAGCACTGGAACTGGTGCACATGGACCTGGTAGGACCTTTTCCAGTTCGAGGAAGTAAGGGGGAAAGGTACTTCCTTACAATAGTTGATGACTGGAGTCGGCTGATGTGGGCATACCCGTTGAAGCAGAAGGATCATGCTGCCTCAGCAATACGAGATGACTGGCTGCCGTTCGTCGAGCGACAATCTGGGCACCCATGCAAGAGCATCAGAACCGACCGAGGTGGAGAGTTTCTAGGAGGAGATCTGACTGCGTGGCTCAAGAAACAAGGCATTGAGCATCAGCTAACGACGTCCTATACCCCTCAGTCAAATGGCGTTGCTGAGAGGGCTAATAGGACCATCCTGGAAACTGCGCGAGCGCTACTGATCGAATCAGGGCTGGGGAACTCCATGTGGCCTCATGCGGTGAGGCATGCTACAGTGGCAAGGAACTGCGTACTCACAAAGGTGGCTGATGATATGTGGGTGCCGCTGGAGAGGTGGCTTGGAAAGAAGCCTCCAGTGGACATGCTTAGAGTGTTCGGATGCATGGCAGTGGCGCATGTCCTTAAACCGTACAGGACAAAGCTTGGAGCATCTGCACTGTGGTGTGTGCACCTTGGACTTGCGGCAGAGAGCAAGGGGTGGCTACTCTGGGAGCCCTCAAAGAATGTGCTGTTTGACAGTCGGGATGTCAAATTTGTGGAGAACATCATGTATGGCAAGTGGGAGAAGCAGCCAGAGGCAAGGGTCACCCAGCAGCTGGAAGAGATCACTATGCACTTCGATTTGTCCGAACCTGAGGACAGCGAAGTCACTGCGCCAACGGCAAGCGGTACTGATGAAAGAAGCAATGAGGATATTGCAGCTAATGCTGACGTCAAGGATCCGGAGCAGCAGCAGCAAGAGGCTTCCAAAACACCAAGTCTGCCAAAGCGAAGGAAACAGATTGGTGGGGGGACAAAGGATTGGGTGAAGGTGAAAGAATGGGTAAATCCAACCATCTACCCTGCACGTACCAGAATGGCAACAAGAAAGCTGCTGAGCTCTACAAGTGGAGGAGCCACAACTGAGCAGCAGGAACAGGCCCAAGGCGAAGATGCAGTGCTGTTCTTGGGTGTTGACCAAGAGTCAGATGACGAGGAGCCTGCATACTGCTTTTACGCACCAATACAACCTCCGAGCATGGATCATGCGCTAGCCGGGCCTCAACGGGGGAAGTGGCTCGTTTCAAGAGATGCAGAGTACAACAGCCAGATGGAGAATCACACATGGGACCTGGTGTACTTGCCAAATGGGAAGAAGGCAATACAGCGCAAGTGGCTAGCAAAAATCAAGACGGATGAGAAAGGAGAGCCATCAGTTTACAAGAGCAGGCTGGTGGCAAAGGGGTTTCAGCAGAAAGAGAAAGAAGATTTCAAAGAAGTGTTTGCCCCAACTGCTAAGTCTCCAACGCTACGTGTGCTGCTGGCGGTAGCTGCTGTGCGCAAATGGAAGGTGAAGCAGATGGACATCGTAACCGCTTTTCTGTACGGCATTGTGGAAGAGGAGGTGTACATGGTTCAACCACCTGGCTATGAGGATGGAACCAGTCGTGTCTGCAAACTTAACAAGGCCATCTATGGCTTGAAGCAGGCCCCGAGATGCTGGTACAACAGGCTGGCCAGTGCACTGGAAGGGATTGGATTCCGTGCGAGTGCATGCGACGAAAGCCTATTCCTGATGGGCGAGGGGGAGTCGCTTGTGCTTCTGCTGGTGTACGTGGATGACATCCTGCTCTTCAGCAGCAGTGACAAGGAGATCGATGTGGTGCAGCGGAAGCTCACAGAGCAGTTCAAGTGCAAGTCACTTGGAGAGGCAAGGTACTACCTGGGAATGCACATTGAGCGGGATACTGAACGTGGCTGGCTCAAACTGCATCAGGGACAGTACATCAACACCTTGGCTGAGAAGTACTCTCTGCAGGAAGAACGGGAAGTGGTTACACCTTTGCCTTCCGAGTTCAAACTCATAAAGGCAGCTGAAGGAGAAGGAGTTGAAAGTGAAGACCAGAGGAAATTCCAATCCATGGTCGGGAGCCTACTCTACGCTGCTGTGCATACTCGGCCTGACATCTGCTTTGCTGTGGGACAGCTGGCTCGAGTAGTGCAAAATCCAACAGAAGAGCAGTGTGGTGCAGCGGAGAGAGTGGTGCGCTACCTCAAGTCATACCCTACAGTGGGAGTACAGTATTCAGCCTCTGCTCAACTCAGTCAAAAAGGAGTTGAAGTCCTTCAAGAGAAGGGGGAGCAGCTCGGAGAAGGAAAGGTGTTCCTTTCCTGTTTTGCTGATGCCACGTGGGCTTCTGAGCATGAGGATTCATCATCAGTTGGTGGATACATCTGCATGGTGGGAGGTGGGCCTGTAAGTTGGAGGTCCAAGAAGCAGTCTGAAACGGCACTATCTTCAGTGGAATCTGAGTACATGGCAATGTTTCATGCGGCAAAAGAAATCATTTGGTTAAGGAGGCTCTTGAAGGCGATCCGCCATGAACAGACTTGTGCGACACCTCTGTTCAGTGACAGCAAGGGAGCCATTGCCATGGCACGCAATGCAGTTCTTCATGGGTTGAACAAGCAAATGAGGATCAAATGGCATTGGCTGCGGAAGGAGGTGAAGCTTGGGACACTGGAACCGATCTACGTGAAAACTCAGCAACAGTCAGCCGACTTCCTTACCAAGCGGCTAGCTGAAGAGCCACACTGGTGCTGTGCGAGGATGGCAGGAATGTCCTTGAACTAGAGACGGCGAAACAAGCCGACAATCTGAGGGGGAGTGTGTTGGTGCATATTCGTTTGCACGTCATCCTGTCGTCTGTTCGCATCATTTCGTTGCATGTGTTTTGTGTGCTACATTGTTTGTATGGTTTGTTGGGTTTGCATGTCTTTGCATGTTCATCTTGTGCTTGTGCAGATGTGCTTGGATTGTGCATGACATCGAGCACATTCCAACGAGCCAATAATTGTTGGAATCGGAGCACATATGAAGAAGTTACGAAGAAATGTTTGATGGATTTGTTACAACTCATTGGAAGTCCTTGTCAGCTGCTACACCAAAGTTGGAGAGCCCTATAACGAGGAGGGACCAGCATGTGTGGGACTCTTGTCCCCCCCCTGCAGCTGCAGCATTTGGGGTTTGGAGGCCAACCTGGTACAGTGTGAATTTTGTCTTGCCAGGCTGGTTGAACTTGAGGATGGGGAGTCAAGACTTTGACTCTTGTCATGTTCTTGACCATGGGCCTCCAGGGTCCTTCCCTTTCATCCTTCTCTTCCATCCCTACCTTCCAATTGTGCTTCAATGCCTTTTCTATCATGCCTATGAACTTGTAAGCTTCAATCATAGTGACTCTGAGGATTGTCAACTTCTCCTAAGGCAGATTACCCCCCAGTGCGCCAAACGCCATAGCTCGCTCGTTAAGCTATGGAATCGAGTGATTCAACTTCCAGAGGAAAGCTGACGCTGCAAGCTACAACATATCTGATTTTCAGATCGTTTCACAGATTGCAGTTTTGGATATAGCTTTTCGAAGGTCGCAAGTTTTCTGGGCGTCATAACGAAGTGCTGCAGAAATTTCCAAGGAGCCATTGAATCATCTGCTTATAGCCTTCTCTAAGCAACACGCTAGCCCCTTATGCCCAGCTGGCCCCTTAGTGCCCTGCTCGCCCATTCGCGCCACGCTGGCCCCGTTTGCGCCCCGCTGGCCCCGTTTGCACCCCGCTGGCCCTGTACGCCCAACTGGCCACTTAGCGCCCCGCTGGCCCCTTAGCGCCCAGCTGGCCCCTTAGCGCCCCGCTGGCCCCGTTTGCGCCCCACTGCCCCCTGTAAGAAATAGAGTTGAAATCGAAGACGACATCACAGCTGCGAATCAGCTGTCTGGTGATTGGGTTGAGGAATAAGTAGTCCGGGGAGTCGGAGTTGTGCCCCAGGTACATGCAGGTCTGGGTTTTGGGACCAAGCTTGCCACCTTGCTTCCTGCGCGTGTGGGGGCTCAGCAACACATACGCGGTACACCCCCAGACGCGTAGAGAGCGGGCGGAAGGCATGACCCCAAGCCAGAGAGCGGTAGGTGTGGTGTCGGGCCGGTGGGGATGCGAATAACGATTGTAGAGGAGTGCCGCATGGAAGAGGGCATATCCCCAGAGTGACCGTGGTGCGTTGGCGTGACTGAGGAGGCAACGAGCAATCTGAACCAAGGTGTGGTTGCGGCTCTCTGCAATGCCATTCTGCTGCGGGCTTTCGGGGAGCGTAAAGGTTTGCCGAATCCCTTGGGCTGCACAGAAGTTATCGAGTTTGCCATTGCGAAATTCTCCCCCGCCATCAGAATGGAGGCACTTCATGTAAGAAATAGAGTTGAAATGATTGATTAGGTAATCCCCATTGGGATCTCCGGTGAGAGGGAATGGATGAAGGGGGAAGAGGGAATCCCCATTGGGATCTCCGGAATCTCCAATTGGGTAATTGGAGATTGTGGGGATCACAATTGGGTGAGGTTGGGATTTGTGAGTACACCCCAACCCACTAGAACATTCACAACCTAAACTAGGATATAAAAGTACAAATACAAAAGTGGTATTTGCAGTCTATTTCTAACACACCCCCATAGACTGCAAACCCGATCAAGGAGCACATAGCCCCATGGAACGGAGAAGCCGATGGTGGTCAGCCTTGCCGAGAGCCTTGGTAAAGAGGTCGGCGAGGTTGCAATCTGAGGTGATGTACCGTACCGTCAGCTGGTCACTCTGAACAAGATCTCAGATGAAGAAATGACGAAGTTCGATGTGCTTGGTGCGAGAGTGGAACACAGGATCCTTGGTGAGATGAATGGCACTCTGGTTGTCACACCACAGGGTGGGCGACTGCTGGGGGTAGCCTAACTCAGCGAGGAGAAAGGAGAGCCAGCGTGCCTCTTGAGAAGAAAATGTGCCCGCGTAGAGCTCGGCCTCGCAGGACGACAAGGAGACTGCAGAGGACCGAGTGGAATGCCAGCTAATGACTCCGCTTCCAAGAGTGAAGCAGTACCCTTGGGAGGAGCGTCTGTCAGTCTGGTCATCGGCCCATAAGGAGTCTGTGTATCCCTCGAGCTTGACTGGAGAGGTACCACCAAGAGTGAGGATGTGAGACTTGGTGGCTTGTAGATAGCGGAGGACCCTCTTGGCTGCAGACCAATGCGAGGCGGTGTAGCGTCCAGGGGAGACGTACCGAGAGAGGACACAAACCGGGTAAGCCAAGTCTGGTCGAGTGCACATCATGGCATACATGAGTGAACCGACTAGCTCAGGGTACGGGTCCTTGCAGGCGTCAGGAGAAGGAGTTGGAGGGGCCGTGAGCTGATGCTGTAGTGGGAGTGGAGTGGAGACAGAGTTACTGGAGTCCATGTCGAACCGCTTGAGAAGGTTGTCGATGTAGGACTCCTGGGAGAGGGTGATCGTGCAAGCCTGGCGGTCACGAGTGATCTCCATCCCCAGGTAGTTCTTGAGGTCACCAAGATCCTTCATGAGAAGGGTGGAGCTGAGAGCAGACTGGACAGCTGCCATGTCGGCTGGATCTCTGGTGGCTAGAATGAAGTCGTCGATGTAGACGAGGATGTAGAAGGGCTCGAAGGAGTGACGAACGAAGAGACTGGAATCTGAGGCAGAGGGATGGAAGTCAAGTGCGAGGAGGACTTCCTTCACCTTGTTGTGCCACTCACGAGGAGCCTGCTTGAGGCCATACACAAGGCGCTTCAGCTTCCACACTCTGTTGGTAGGGTAAGTGCCAGGAAACCCCGGTGGGCGTTCCATGTGAACATCCTCCTTGAGCTGGCCTTGGAGAAAGGCGGAGGAGGCGTCCATGGACTTGATCTCGAAGTTGCCGCGAGCGGCTATATCAAGAAGAGCGCGCACAGTCGGGAGCTTGGCCGTGGGCGAGAATGTTTTGAAGAAGTCGAGATACTCCTTCTCGGTGAAACCCTTCGCCACGTATCGTGCCTTGAACAGTGGAGCTTCGCCTGGGAGTTGTTTGACTCGGAAGATCCATTTTCCGCCGACGATGTTGACACCGGAAGGGGGAACAACATCGTCAAAGCTGTTGTTGCGAATGAACGCCTCGTTCTCCACATCCATTGCTGCCTTCCACTCCTTCTTATAAGGCCCCGAGAGAGCTTCCTCTTTTGTGCGAGGAGTCAGAATGGTCGGGTTCTCGGTGAAGTTGAGGGAAGGGCAGTAAGTAATGTCCGGGAAGATGTGAGAGAGAAATTGGCAGACCGCGTGAAGGTCAAACAGCTCCTCATGCCTGTCCTCCAGAAGTGCACGGGGGGAAATACGGATGGAGGGGACATCACCCCCGGCAGGAGGAGGCGGGGTGACCGAACACCGGATGGAGAAGGCGGCTGGTCCCCAGGCGAGAGGCGGAGCCGGTCCCTTGGAACGAGTGCGACTAGAGACCGGAGACGAAGGCGGCTGCGGTGGGACCGGAGGGACTGGGCGCCTCCGGTAAGAGACTGGTGAGCCCGGCTCGACGCGCGGGGAAGGCGGAGCAGGAGGAGGTGCCGCTGCGGAGGATACTGGGGAGGCCGGGAGAGACACGCCGGACGGAGAAGCCCCCGGAGAAGGGGCAGCGGCCGTAGGTAGGGCATTTAAGTCTGCCCCAACAAGCGTCGGGGGAGGTGGAGGAGGCTCGCACGTGGTCGCAGAGTGGAATGGGCGTGTCTCATCGAAGACGACATCACGGCTGCGAATCAGCTGTCTGGTGATGGGGTTGAGGAATAAGTAGTCTGGGGAGTCGGAGTTGAGCCCCAGGTACATGCAGGTCTGGGTTTTGGGACCAAGCTTGCCACCTTGCTTCGTGCGCATGTGGGGGCTTAGCAACACATACGCGGTACACCCCCGGACGCGTAAAGAGCGGGCGGAAGGCGTGACCCCAAGCCAGAGAGCGGTAGGTGTGGTGTCGGGCCGGTGGAGATGCGGATAAAGATTGTAGAGGAGTGCCGCATGGAAGAGGGCATATCCCCAGAGTATATTGGTGGAGGAAGCGCCGACGGGAGGCCAAGAAGAAGTTTCTTGGAAGCGATGTCGGCAAGTGTTCGGAAGTTGGGGTGACCCAAGCGATGGTGGTAGAGGATGGTTGGGTTGGCAAAGCGGCGACACAAACACGGAGTGGTGCTGGCAGCTTGCGCTTGGGAGAGAGCGGCGAGAGGAGCAGGTGAACGCAGCGTGTAGAGCTTGCTACTGTTGAGTGTGAAGCGTGGTAGGAGCTTGTTGGAGTGAGGGTCGAAGAGGTCACTGTGATCCGAGTGTGCTGGGAAGATCGTGGTGACGCCTGCCCGTTGGAGCTCGTGTTGGGCCACAAGATTGTGGCGTAGTATGGGAACACACATGCCAGTCACACTGCCCGAAGGAAAAGCTGGGCACGGAACTGTGGAGGAGCCCTTGGCGTGTGTTGTGAAACTGGAGTCTGCTCCAAGTAGACGGATTGGTGTCTCGTATGGCTTGAAGGAGTGTTCTTCCTTGAGAACCGTATGAGTGGCCCCACTGTCAAGGGTGAACTCTATTGTGGCTCAGGTGCTTTGTGAGCCAGGATATTGCGAAATTGTCTCATTAATCATGGCAGTGCCAGGGAACAACATGTTGAGGCGCACATCAGCAGGTGCAGCCACAGCAGCCTGCACGGATTCCTGCGCTTCGACTTGATTGACTTGGCGAGGAGCACGATTGACCATCCAGCTTGGCGGCTTGGAGGCGGTCCCATTGACGGCATACCACTCGTCATCCTTCTTCTTAAAGCAGGAGGCAAGGGCGTGGTTGGTGCCGCCACACACCTGGCCAGCACGAGGGCCGCGCTTGATGATGTAGGGACACGGGGGGAAGCGGTTGCGCTGGAACGGCGCCGAAGCGGCATAGGCTTGAGGCACGGGAGTGCGGATTGCATTGGCCTTGGCTTGAGTGCTGTTGTCCTTTTCGGCAGAAAGGAGCGCGGATGAGACCTTGGCAAATGTGAGGTCCGCAGGAGCAAGGCCCAAGAGCATCTTGCGTGTGACTT